TACATAACCTTAACATTTGTACTCCCATTATATGCTGAAATTTAAAAAAATATCCCAAATAAAGCAATATGGAGATACCTTAAAGTGATACAAGTGAATCTACCATTTGATCCAGCAATCCCATTGCTAGGCATCTACCCAAAAGATCCAATGACACTCTACAAAAAAGATACCTGCACTCGAATGTTTATAGCAGCACAATTCATAATTGCAAGGCTGTGGAAACAGCCCAGGTGCCCATCAATCCAAGAATGGATTAATAAAATGTGGTATATGTATACCATGGAGTACTATTCAGCTCTAAGAAACAACGGTGATATAGCACATCTTATATTTTCCTGGTTAGAGCTGGAACCCATACTACTAAGTGAAGTATCCCAAGAATGGAAAAACAAGCACCACATATACTCACCAGCAAACTGGTATTAACTGAGCAGCACCTAAGTGGACACATAGGTACTACAGTAATAGGGTATCGGGAAGGTGGGAGGGGGGAGCGGGTATATACATACATAATGAGTGAGATATGCACCATCTGGGGGATGGTCATGCTGGAAACTCAGACTTGTGGGGGGAGGGGGAGATAGGGCATTTATTGAAGCCTTAAAATCTGTACCCCCATAATATGCTGGAAAAAAAAAAGAAAAAATAAAGTCAAATACAGTAGAAAAAAATATATATCCAAAATAGAACCACAATTCACCCAGTCATTCAAACCTAAAACATAGAGGTCATTTTTAATACCAACCCTTTTATCATTCTTCATATTCAACCCAGCAGCAAGTACTGTTGGATCTGCCTCCAATATATGTCTGGCATGTGTCTACTTTTCTTCATCTTTGCTGCCCAAAACTTCTAAGCCACCATCTCCTCTAACCTGCAGTAGCATCCACACTGGTGACCTTATTTGCTCTCTTCCCCAAACCGAGTAATATGTTTTAAAAACCCAAATTGTATAGTGTCACTCCCCTCCTTCAGTAACTCCTCTTTTATTTTAGGATAAAATCCAAATTCTTTACCTACAAATCCCACAGGGTCTGCCTCTGCCTTTCTACCTTGTCTCAAAAAGATTGTTCCCTCCCTCATTGCACACTGAACACACAGTCCATCTTTCTTCCTCTTTCTCATCTTCAGGCCTTTGCACTTAACTCTTCACTCTATCTGCAGTACTCTCGCTCTGAGCTTGGCTGACTCCTTTTCTAACCTTCAGGTCCCAGCTGAAAAGTCACCTTCTAGAGGCCTCATGCCATATCTGAAATGGTCATCGTTATAATCTATATCTCTCCCCAAGGAGAATTTCAGTTTCTTGAGAGCAGCCACTTTTCTTTTTTGTTGTCTATCCCTGGCACCTAGTATTCCTTGCTAAATATATATTTAGTTTAATGAATGAAAGAATGTCATCAGCAAAAGGGTTAGGAATGAACCAAAGAGCGTTTTGATCTATTGTGACTTCATTTACAGACATATGCTTGGACTCTCAGGTACCTGTAATTTTAGTTTGAGTCATTAATTCCCTTAAGTGGAAGATATTTGCTATACTGTAGTTCCATTATTTGGAAAATGGGCAGAAAGCATTCATAGTGTAAGGATTTGTTCATTAGTATTTTCCATGGTTTGATAGGGTTGGTTTGTCCCCACCCAGTCTCAGGTTGAAATTTGATCTCCAGTGTGGTGGCATTGGAGGATCCACCCTCCCTGGGAATGAGTGAGCTCTTGCTCTCATGGGTCTAGATCGGTTCTCGTGGGGTGAGGGAATGGATTAGTTCCCAGGAGAGTGGGTTGTCATAAAGTTAGGATGCCCCCTTATGTTTCTTCCCTCTTCACGCATCCCTCCTTCCCCTTTGACCTCCTCCACCATGATTTGCCTCACCTAGAAGCCCTCACCAGAAACCAAGCAGATGGGGGCACCATGCTTCTTGTACAACTTATGCAGCCTGCAGAACCAGGAGCTAAACAAACCTCTTTCCTTTACAAATTACTCAGCCTCTGGTATTCCTTTATAGCAGCGCATAATGGCCTAAGGAAACAGTGTTAAGTTATATGTTTTAAATAAAATAATGCTTTGAATTGAAAACATCAAACAGGATTCCTTTTTATGAACCTTGGAGGTTTGGGGTGGGATTTAAATCACCCTTTCTGGCTCGTCTTACATCCCTTGTGTTTAGATTAATGGTCCCAGGAGATCAGGGAGCCTGAAACTTGTGAGCTTACCTCCTTAGAATAAACTCAGACTCACCAGGATCATGTATTATAAAGTCTCTTAATTACATCTTTGTTTCTCAGATTCTTCACGTCCCTTTAAGAGCGTCAGCTCTAACTCCTTGTAGCTCCGGCTCCTGCAGCTCAGCACCACACATTGTGGGGCAGCATCGCCGAGCAGAGTGTGGTGCCAGGCGCTGCAGGAGGAACGGCGAGGTTGCTGTCCTGTGAATGCCAGGGCCCGGGCAGAGCCTCTGGGACACAGCAGGCCACCGGGCTCGGGAAGCTCACGGAAACGGTGGGCTTTTTCCGTTGTCATTTATCTGCTCTAGCAGACTGCAGCAACGTGCTGCCAGGCTCTGTCCTCTGCTTGCCATGCTAAAAGCGACTGTCCACCAACACGCACATGCTCCTTAATTCTGGACGCTCCCCAAGTGCCTCTTTCAATTGGGAAACCTAGAGAAAGTCTTCAGCAAGAATGGCTATCTAGATAAGTCCTCTGGATACTGATACCAACAGTAATAGCCAGTTAAGTCGCCTTCTAAATGTGTAAACGATCGCTTTGGAGAACCAGGAGTATGACAGTGGGAACTGCAAGTACTCGATGGCAGAAATCCTAGTAAACACGTAAACCCAGCTACAGCAGTTCCATCAGTTCAGGGGAGTGTTGCTGCTGCTATATGCTTGTCGGTCAGGGTAGGCTTGCTGTCAGAACAACCCATTTCCAAACCTCAGCAGCTTAAATGCAATAAAGGTTTATTTATTTCTCATGTCACAATCCCGTCGGGTCGGTGGGGATGGGGAAGGAGGTGGGGTGTCTCTGCTCCAAACAGCTCTCCAGGGACCCAGGCTCGTCCTCCTGGTGTGGAGGTTCTTACCCTGGAGTCCGCAGGTCCCCAAAGGGATGCACAGAATTCAGGGGGATTTGTGAACTTGGATGGGGAGAAAAAGTATATCCTTATTGTCACCAACCTTTTAACTGTAATTTAATGTTTCCTGCGATTATGATTGAAGGCATCAATCTGTAATAATAATAGTACCACCTATTACTTTAATCCCAATAGAAATCATAGATATTTCGTATCCCATAATTTTAGTAGCTATCATGAAATATCATTTATGCTTAACACTAGTTCGAAATTATGGTAGTAAACCCACTTCAAAATCTTGTTATTTAGTCTGTTAAAGAGTACATATTGCCATATCACAAAATATTATTGTTTTTATAACCATATTTCAATATACTTTTCTTTGTAATTTATATATTTTAAACATTAAAAACACTATTCTGAGCAAGGGTCCACAGGTTTCAGCAGACTTCCAAAAGGTCTCATGGCAAACAAAAGATTAAGAACCCTGGATCTAGTGGTTTTTCTGCCCCCTCAATCCTTGGGTGGCCTGTTTTTTGTTTTTTGAGTCAGAGTCTCACTCTGTTGCCCGGGCTATAGTGCCATGGCATCAGCCTACCTCACAGCAACCTCAAACTCCTGGGCTCAAGCAATCCTACTGCCTCAGCCCTCTGAGTAGTTGGGACTACAGGCATGTGCCACCATGATGCCCAGCTAATGTTATATATATATATATATATATTAGTTGTCCAGCTAATTTCTTTCTAATTTTTTTCAGTAGAGATGGAGTCTTGCTCTTGCTCAGGCTGGTCTCAAACTCCTGAGCTCAAACGATCCTCCCATCTCTGCTTCCCAGAGTGCTAGGATTACAGGCTTAAGCCACCACGCCCAGCCCTTGGGTGCCCTTTGCATCTAGTCTACAGAATGGGCTGGGGGGTGACATTGGGAAGTAGTTTAGGTTGAGGCTTAGGAGGAATGTCACTTCTGCCCACATTCCATGGGCCATAATTCAGTCACATGAGCCCACTCAACTGCAAAAAAGGCTGGGAAATTAGGTCTAGCTGTGTGCCCAGGAGAAAATGGATATGGGGCTTAGTGAGTACATGGAAGGGACTGTCACCAAGCCCAAGGGAACAGTCAGCAGGGAGACAGCTTCCCAATGACAAGGATCTCCCTGGAGAAAACTCATTCCCTATACAATTCACTGCAGGAAGCATAATCATCATGATTCCATAATGGCTGCTACTGGCTGAATGATTACTCCTGTCCACATTCAGCTAACTATTCATTTCCATGACCTCATTTAATCCTCACAATAACCCTATGAGACAGGTACTATTATTGTTCCTACTTTATAAATAAGAGCACTAAGGACTTGATAAATAAGTCCTAAATCAGTGCCGTCAAGCATAGTGCTGGACTGTTTTGGAAAATACTAGAATCCTCGTTGAAGCAGGTAGAATTACGTACTAGTGGAGAAAATGGTTTCTAGAGCCAGACTCCCTGGATTCCTATTCCAGTGTTGCCAGCAGCCAGTTCATTGACTGGTCGCTTTTTACTGAAGCTCTCTGTACACCTGTAAAATGGAGATTAATAATAGCACCTATCTCTTAGGATTAAATTACATAAACACCTAAAACAGTACCTGGCATCTAGTGAACACTCCCAGTGGATGTTAGCCACTGTGTTTACAGTCTGAAGGGCATGAATGTGATCTGGAATATTCCAGCAGAGCTCACTTCTCATGAAGGATGTGGGAAAATATCTGAGGTCACCAAGACACTCTTGGGGAGGGGGGGCAGGGGGGGTTCCTAGAACAGTGGGCTGAGTTATACTTAAGAGATGGGAAGCTGTTACTTTTCTAATGAAGGAAAAAGTATGTTGTGATGACAGAAAGAAAAGATCGAGAGAAAATAGTTTTCATGCTAATGTAACGTACTCTCCCCTTTATAGAACTCCATGAAGGTGATGTTCAAATGCCTCTGGAAAAACTGTGGGAAGGTGCTGAGCACTGCGGCAGGTATCCAGAAACACATCCGGACCATCCATCTGGGGTGAGACGTCCCTCCCTTCAGAGCTGCTTGTCGTCTCTGTCAGTTCAGTCTGGGGCCACCTGCACTCAGAAGTTGCACACCACACTGTGCCTTGGAAGTTCTGGACGCTGGGATGGGTTGGTCTTGCTAATTTCTAGAAAGATGGCCACTGCAGCTAACATAGGCCACCAAGGCACAGCGTGAAGAACAAGGGTTTAACACCTTAAAGCCTCCCAAGTTTACTTACTGAGTCATTGCTCTGAGCCCAGTTCCCTCTGAAAATGAGTGATAATGTCAGCTCTGCAGAGTGATGGGTGAAGGCCAAAGATCAAAGTGAGAGGTAGTTGTAAAGTATAAAACACTAGGGTAGGGGTTCCTCACTTGGAATCTGTGGTTGGACTCCAAGGGGGTCCTTGAACCCCCTGAAATGATCTGTAAAATGAAATGTGCATTTCTTTTTCCCATGGAGAATATTCAGGACTTTGAGCCTCAAAGGCATGTATAGCCTAAATAGGGTTGAAGAATCATACCAATCGATTCTGCTGCTGCTGCTGCTGCTGCTATTCTTACAAATCCTGATGATCTGGTTCGATCCCTTTATTTTGCTTAAATAAGCCCTTTATTTGTGAAAATCTACACTTTTCCTCGTATGATATAACGACCTTTCTAAAGGAAAGATAAAAAGAATCTTCAGGAGCCACAGTGGTTAGGGGTCACCCCATGGGGGCAGTGATGGTCCAGCAGTCTCGTGCTGTCACCCAGGGAGCTGGGACTTAGAAGGGACCTTGAGAGGCCATAAGCCATCACCAGTGTTCATAGGCAAATACAAATGCATGACCAAGCACCAGCATGCTTGGACACAGAAGAGTCCTTTCAACAAGATAAGTGTAGAGAAGTAAAACGAAATAGTCACTTTGCCCAGCAAGGGAGAAATTTAGGAGATGCATCATCCATAACAAGTGGTATAGGCAGAAGGTAAAAACAGGTTCTAAGGTAATGTTGCTAATCTGTGACGATTGCTTTATCAGTAACTGGAGAGAAACAGGATCTACCTCTCTAACCCTTCAGGCTGATATTTGGGGATACACCAGAGCCTTCCAGAGTACCCAGAAGGTCACCAAGGACTGGAATGTGGCCCAGCAAGGCAGGGCTTCTGCTCACCTAGCCAGAGGGTCCACCTTCATGTCTAAGAAATGCCACGTTGAAATACCTGCAGGCAGAACACCCTCATTCCTGTTCCTCAAACCTTCGGGGAAGGAAAGCCTATAGTGTCTCCCCTCAAATCTCGTTGTCCAGACAATTCACAATGTGAACCACTCAGTTATTTAAAGATTTCGAAAGATCTTCCCAAAGCTATGGCCAAGAGGTAGAGTATTTGTTTTAAAGTATGCCTGCCCAGAAAATGGAATCCTATTCAGCCCCACTCAGAAGCACATGCTGTGTATGTGCATTGATAGACTGTAAGTGGCACCACGTGATTTTCCTCTGAGCTCCCGGGGTGCTCACACAGTGGGTGGAGTTCAAAATGCAGCCACTTTATTTGCTTCCCTAAGACCCCCTTCTTACTGATGTGCTTCTAGAATTGCCTTGGTGAATTTTGGTTCACAGCCCTGCCGGCCACCACGCAGGAACAGGCCTGGGTTGGCAGGACTGCACAGGCAGTCTATGTTTATGAAGCCTGGGGCCCGAGCTCCGTCATGGACTGGAAGAGAGAATGTGCCTCTGCCTCAGTGCTTGAGCTCAGTTGCAAGACTCTAGGATGATGGGACATTTTTAATGACTATTGGCTGTTGTGGGGGAGGTGAGGAAGGAAGCACGTCAAGGCCCAAAGAAGAGACGTCCTTGCATCTGATGTAGCTTCAGTGCACACCTTGCCAGTATAAAAAGTACATTGTTTTCCTCTTAAATCTCACTCCATTCTCGTATACCAGGGGCTGGTCCTGATTTCTCCCCATGTAGGACACACAGTCTCCTCCAGGCCTGTGTGTCTATTAGTAGCACTTGGCAGCCAGCAGCAACTCAGCCAGCCTTTAACTGGAAAGGAAGTGGAGACAGGAATAGAACAGACGCTCATTCTTCATCCCACTCTCTGGGGTCTTTAATGGTATGCTGGTCTGAAAGCCAAGCCCGCCAGACCTGATATGGTACAGAGACACCTCCCCAGATGCCTCAGCCTGAGAGCCCTGAGAGCTCTGGGGAAATGGAACTAGCCAGGGACAAGCCAGAAAGGCCTGGGGAGAGGCAGGGGGTGGATTTTTATTTTAGGTTCTACATAGGGATCATTAATCAGGAAAGGTTTGTTCTGAGTCCATGATCTGCTGCTACCACTGGATGCATCTATGACCAGGTCGTTAGATGTGCACCTCTTCTCTAGAAATTAGCAGATCTAATAAATGTTTTCTGAGGTCACGGATAGTTATTTTACTCAAAACTTTCTGTGCAAAAGTACAATGTTGCATGTCCCAGGAGGAAGAACTTTGAAAGCACCCAAAGACACTTTTCCTGATGATGGTAAAAATTAAGACCTTCCGACATTGTCCTTGTTTTTATTTAATAAGCACTTACGTAGTGCTTATTATGTGTCAGGTATATTTCTAAGCACTTTATATTTATTCGCTTCATCCTCACAACAATCACTTTACAAATAAAGAAACTGAGGCACAGAAGCTATGCAGAGGCTACCAAAATTACACACACACACACACACACAGCTAGAAAGTGTCGGAGTCAGGATTTGAACCTAGGAAGTCCAAGCCCAGAATCCATGCTCTTAATCACCATGCTGCAACCTCAGCTTCTTTCGTTCATTCATTCATTCCTTCGTTCAACATTTAGTAGGTATCTACTCTATCCAAGTACTGTGATATGTGACACAAAGATGAACATGTGACATCCCTGGAGAATCACCATCACTGTGAGGCAATAAAGGGATTAAAAGAATTACAAAAAGGTGGCAGTTAATTAACTAAAGGATGAACACACTTCAAAGAGAACGCAGAGAAGTAGCTGTTAGGAGTTAAACCTTAACTCCTATCCCTCAGAATACATCCAGAACGTGATTTCTCATCACTTCTGCGGTGGTGGCCCTCGCCCGGCCCCCGTCACTGCTCATCTGGATTGTTGCAGACAACAGCTCCTCCGTGGCTTCTTGCTCCTGCTCTTGCCCTCCTGCCCTCTGTTTTCTACACAATATCCATAGTGATTTGGATATTTCTTTTCAAAGTAAGTTAGATTTCTCAAAACTCCCAGTGGCTCCCAGCACATTCAGATTATAAGCTAAGCCGTTGCTGTGGGCTACAAAGCCCTACGTGATGTGGCCTCTGTGTGGTCCTTGCTCTTCTCATCACTCCCTTGTGTCCTGAGCTCCAGCCTCTGGCCTCTCCGCCTCCTTGGGAAACACCAGGCCTGCCCACCTGGGGGCTCCATGTCTCTCTTCCCTGATACGATCTTCCCAAGGGTTCCAGCATGGTCTCTCCTGCGCTTCATTTAGGCAGGTCTCTGCTCAGATGTCACCTCCTCAAGGGGCTTCCCCTGAATAGTGCCCTCCCCCCCAATCACTTCCCTGATCAAGGTCACTCTTTTACTGCTCAATTTTTCTTTCTGGGACTTATCAACACCCGATATATTAAATATCTATTTCTTTATGGGTTCCTAGTCTGCCTCCCCCACTAGACTAAAAGTTCCATCAGGGCAGGGTCTATGCTTTGTTCACTGTGATATCAAGAGACCCTAGAACGGTGCCTGGACATAATAGAGTCTCGATAATTTGTTGTTGAATTGTTGATTGAATGAATGAATGAATAAGTGAATCGCTTTAAGAGGTCATGAAGGCTTCTCTGGAAGTTGACAGTTGAGTGTCATATAGGATAAGCATGAGTTTTCCAGGCAGATGAGAGAGAGGAAAAGCATTCTAGACAGAGGTAAATAGCGTGTGCGAGATTTCAAGACAAAAAAAAAAAACCAGATTGGCTTAGTATGATTGTTTTGCTGTCTCTGTGCTAGGCGTGTTGGGGACTCTGACTACAGCGATGGAGAAGAGGACTTTTACTACACTGAGATCAAGCTCAACACAGACTCAGTGGCCGAAGGACTGAGCAGCCTGGCCCCGGTCTCACCTTCCCAGTCCCTGGCTTCACCTCCTACTTTCCCCATCCCAGACTCAAGCCGAACAGAAACTCCTTGTGCCAAAACCGAGACTAAACTGATGACGCCCTTGAGCCGCTCAGCTCCCACCACCCTCTACCTCGTGCACACCGACCATGCTTACCAGGTGACTTGCAGGGGACGTGAGCGTAATCACTTTGACCTTGACCAAAAGCAGTAGCCATCTGGCCTGTGAGTAAAAGATAACTCGGTAGAAAAACAGTACCACACCCTGCAACCTAGCGGCTTCGTTTCTCTTTCTTTTTCTCCTTTTAAAACCAAGGTCTCGCACAGTTGGGTTCCCTGTAGGTTACTCTCAGACTCCTCAGTGCTGACTGCAGATCCAGTCCCTTAGAGGTAGGTATGAGGATTAAAATCCTTAACAGTGGGAAGGCCCCAGAAAGGTGCCTGGCACATTACATATGTGTGTTAAATTAAAAATAGAAGAAATGAACAGGTGAGCATGGGAAAGCTTTGACACAGTGACACAATCGCTGTACTCCAAGTGTAGGACGTCATGCCTTGCCTTCAAAATGGTTAATTAAACCTCTCAGATTGGAGTAGTGGTTTTCAGTGTTTCCCAGATCAATAGCATCGGCATCACCTGTGAGCTTGTTAGAAATGTAAATTCTTGGGGCCCCTGCAACCTACTGGATCAGAAGCTGGGGATGGAGTCCAGCATTCTGTGTGGTGACAAGCCCTCCAGGGGATTCTGAGTCATGCTAAAGTCCAAGGAGACCATAGGGACAAATCCTGCAAATTCAGGACATGGTTAAAACTCCTTTTTTTCCCCTCAATACATTCAAATTTTAAGAAAACAGTTTTTCCATAATTCTTAACTATCTTATATAACTTTCAAAAATCTCCTTTACATAATTATAAAGGGTGTTCTCCCACCCTTGTTTTATAAAAAAAAAAAAAACCCTTCCATATAACTGAATAGTATCCAATTAAATTGAAACACAAAATTATTGTAATCATTCATATTGTTACTTTTTAATCCATTTTTCCATCATTAATAACTCCACTATGAATATCTCTGTGCCTTCAGCTTTTATTTTTTTTCTTTAAATTTTCAAAAAAATAATTATTGAGTTAGACGATATGATATGATTAAGCAATGTATGGCTTTTGCTATGTATTGCCAAAATACTTTCCAGTGGTGCCAATTACAAAACCAGTGTCACTAGAAAATATATTGTAATTAGAAAAACTAAACCTATAGCAAGAATTCAGCCACTGATGTAGCAAACTTAAACTCAAGAACAGTGAAATAAAGCTAATGAGTAGTTGGTACAATAAATGTTATTATAACTAATTCATTTGTATTTTTCAGCATTGCACTTTGGTCAGAGATCACAGGCTTGAACCAACTTAATTCGGTCATTTTGCTCATCTATATATTGAGAGAGTTGGAACACACATTAGGTGATCTAGCAGGTTCTTCCCATTTGGGAAGGACCCTTGATGATATTGGGACTTTTCTGTTGATAGATATTGTAAATGTTCAGCATTGAAAATATTAAAAATGCAGCAAAGAATGAAAATTCATCCCTAATTCCAGAGAGCCCCTTGGTTGATATTTTTTGTATGTCCTTCAAGATTTTGTTCTCTGTCTATATATATAGCTATTTTAAAAGGGATCTATTGTGGTACTGTTTTTACCATGCTTTGTGTTTTCTACTTAGTATATCATGAACATTTTCCCATGCCAATGAGTCTTCTTCAGTAAAGCATTTTAATTGATACATAATATTTGTGCATATTTATGGGGTACATGTAATATTTTGTTACATGCAGAGAGTGTGTACTGATCAAGTCAGTACTTAGGACATTTAAAGTGTTAGGGACATTTCAAGCCCGTCCTTCTAGCTATTTTGAAATAGAAAATATGTTGTTAACTTTAGTCACCCTATTCTGTTGAACATTAGATCTTATTCCTTTTGACTGTATGTTTGTACCTATTAACAAACCTCACTCATCCCCCCCACACCCACATCTTTCTCCACCTCTAGTAACTTGTCAATCTACTCTCTACCTGCATGAGATCAATTCTTTCAGATTCCACATGTGAGTCAGAACATATGTTTGTCTTTCTGTGCCTGGCTTATTTCACTTAACATAATGACCTCTGGTTCCATCCATGTTGCTGCAAATGACAGGATTTCATTCCATTTTATGACCAAATAGTACTCCATTGTGTACATATACCACATTTTTTTTTCTTTTTTTTTTGAGACATAGTCTCACTTTGTTGCCCGGGCTAGAGTGAGTGCTGTGGCGTCAGCCTAGCTCACAGCAACCTCAACTCCTGGGCTCAAGCAATCCTTCTGCCATCCAGGGCCTGCTTAACCAAAGTAGCTGGGATTACAGGCATGCACCACCAATGCCGGCTAATTTTTCTATATACCTATTAGTTGGCCAATTAATTTCTTTCTATTTATGTGAGAGACAGGTCTCGCTCAGGCTGGTTTTGAACTCCTGACCTTAAGCAATCCGCCCACCTCGGCCTCCCAGAGAGCTAGGATTACAGGCATGAGTCACCGCGCAGCCGGCCAATATACCACATTTTCTTTATTCATCCGTCCATTGACAGACCTTTAGATTGATTCCATATCTTTGCTATTATGAATAGTGCTGCAATAAACTTGGGGGTTTAGGTATCCCTTTGATATACTGACTCCCTTTCCTTTGGATAAATATCCAGTATTGCTGGATATCCAGGATTGCTGGATTGTATGGTAGTTTTATTTTTAGTTTTTTGAGAAATCTCCATACTGTTTTCCATAATGGCTGTACTAATTTACGTTCCTACCAACAGTGTATATAAATGTTCTCTTTTCTCTGCATCCTCACCAGCATCTGTTATTTTTCTATCTTTTTAATAGTAACCATTCTAACTGGGGTAAGATGGTGTCTCACTGTGGTTTTGATTTGCATTTCCTTGATAATTAGTGATATTGAACATTTTTTCATGTACCTATTGGCCATTTCTATGTATTCTTTTGAGAAACGTCTATTCAGATCTTTGCCCAATTTTTCGTGGGATTATTTGGTTTTCTGCTGTTGAGTTGTTTGAGTTTCTTATATTAATAAGTATGAAATGGCTGATGTCCTTAAAGTACTAAGTTTGACAATTGATCTCTCTGACATTTCACTTTGACACTTCTTGTTTTATTTTTATTGCGAAGGTGCATCTTCAGTCATTCAAATACACAGTTTGGCTTGTGATTATCAAAAATTTGTGTTATTTTTGAATATGCGTTCCATCGTGGAACTAAAGCTGCACAGACAACTCGAATCAATGAAGTGTTGCTGAAGGATGTGGCTAATGAACGCACAGCACGCCAATGGTTTGAGAAGTTCCATTCTGGTGATTTTAATCTTGAAAATGAGCCACGTGGGTGACCTGAGACCAAGGTGCATAATGATGAGCTGAAAGCTATAGTGGAAGCGAATCCATCTCAAACTATGCGTGAATTAGCAGCAAGGTTTGACATTATTATTCCAACAACATTGGACTATTTGAAACAACTTGGCAAGGTAAAGATGCTGGGAGATGGGGTCCACGTGAATTAAACGAGTGGCAGAAGAGAAATCAGCTCAAAGCTTGCCTCTCTTTGCTGTCATGACACAAAGGTGAACCATTTCTACACTGGATTGTTACATGTGATGAAAATGGATTCTTTTTGGCAATCGCAAGCACTTGGCACAATAGTTAGATGAAAATAAAGTGCTGAAACACAGTCCAAAATGGAATCTTCCATCAAACAAAAGCTACGATGTCTGGTTGGTGGTCCAGCACTGATATTATCCACTACAGCTTTGTGAAACCTGGCCAGTCCATTACAGCAGATGTCTACTGCAACAATTGGATGAAATGATGAGGATGCTTTTGATTAAGCAGCCAAGATTGGCCAATAGAAACAGACCAATCCTCTGGTAAGACAACACTGGACCACATGTCACACAAACAATGCTGCTTGAACTACAGAGGTTGGACTTGGAAACTCTCTGTCATCCACCATATTCACCAGACCTTGCACCAACTGACTCCCACTTCTTCCAGGCTTTGGACCGCTTCTTGCAAGGAAAAATACTCAATTCTCAACAAGCTGTGGAAAACTCCTGTTGTGATTTCATCGCCATTCACTCTCCAGGCTTCTTCACTGCTGGCATAAAAATCTACCATTAAGATGGCAAAACTGTGTCGATAGTTTAGGCGCATACTTTGATTAATTGTACTGCTTCTTGTTTGAGATATAATAAAAACTTTTGATTCAAAATCAGACATTTCATATTTAATGACTTAATATGACCTCTTTCCCTATTACTGGGCATTTGTGTTGTTTCCAGTTATTTTAATAGTATATGGTTGTGCAATGAACATCCTTGTGTCCATTTCCTTAGAATGAATTCCTGGAAGTGGAATATCAATACACAGAATGAGAATTTTGACACATATTGCCAAATTAGCCTCCCAAAATGATGTACTAATTTACACACCCACCACCACAGTATAAAACTGTATATTTCCCAATATAATAGGAATTGTATCTCACAGGGATAATAAAATAGGTATATTTATATATTAATAACATTTCTTTTCCAATATTAGCAATCAAAAACTATCTCCTTTTATACTTTGGATAGGTAGCTTATATATAGATATATATAAGAAGTTTATTTCTAGTTATTCTCTTTGACCCTGTTTAATCTCCTCCTGTTATACAATTTGTCTAAGTTATTAATACATTTGAAACCATTTCTGAGGCCCTCCTTTGGTAATGAGGGCTTAAGGCTCCAAGGGAAAATGTTCCTTCACAACAGCTTTCTCTGTTTTTTATTTAACAGGCCACACCCCCTGTGACCATTCCAGGATCAGCCAAGTTCACCCCCAATGGCAGCAGCTTCAGCATTTCCTGGCAGTCTCCTCCAGTCACTTTCACAGGCATTCCAGTAAGTAGAAAAACAAAAAAGCCAGAAATCTGGTCAAAGCCTATTTAGAATAAATTTAGAGAACAAATTAAAGAAACATGCAAGAAAAAGAGAAAAGTTAGAATGCCAGAAATGCTATATTTTTTAAGTGATATTTGTAAACTCATCAGCATGGTATCTTATAGCTCAGCTTCTCTGCAAAAAGGTGTTTTGACTGGTATTTTAGAAAACTGGAAGAGAGTTTCAACTGTTGATAAACGACTCAGAAATGTTGAGATTTTTTGTGTGTGTAGGTAGTATATTTATTTCCAAAAGACTATAAAATTAATAGCTAAACTCAGACTTTGTATAGAAAAGATGGTATTTATCATTATAAGTAACTTTATAAGATTTATTACTTTGAAATTATTATTTTGTAGGTATGTCATTTTGAAGGCTCAAAAAAAAAATAAATCGAAATCATTCTTTTCTTTCAAAGTCTGCATAATCCATGCTGATGGATAATTTGAAAATAAATGAGTTCTGAAATATGCAATCAGATTTAAGTAGTACATAAGAAGTGATTTGACATATTAAATGGTTGCTGTCTGATAAATCACCATGAATTAACTTGATTCCTAACCATTCATTTAGAAGTATATTGGGTCTTTTTTAGCTTATCATAGAGTAGCCATAGACCTGCCTACTGTTGATGCTTACAGAGGTGTGTCACTCCTGATATGGTTCAGAAAGTGTCATATGATAACAGATCTTAACCTTATTTTCTCTTCTCCTCCCCACTCCCTAAAGACTTCACAAAAGCTTCTTATTGTCAACCACTGGCAACTCCCAGAGGTTTCTAGCAAAGTCTAAAGCCTTCTGTGGAGCTGATAAAAATGAAAATGGCTGAATGAATTATGCGGTGCTCTATCAATGAATATTTATTAAACTTCATAGAGGAATAGCCAACAATAAAAAGCATCCTGCTGGCAGCAATTTGGGAAATGGTGGCTTCCAGAAAATAGTCCTGAAACAAGATTTTTAAACAATACCATGAATCTGGAGTAATTATTAAAGTTTCCTGTTTCACTGAATACTAGTAACTACTGCTGGGCTCTGCAAGAGTTATCTTGTTAGTAGACATTAGAAGAGAGCAGTTTAGATATGTCAGTATTAGTTTTGCTTCCAGCAAGAACATTGATCCACTGACGTGGGTGTTAGAGGTTAACAGTCTGTCCTTTTGGGGACTTTTATCTTTGATAGGAAAAGACCTAGAGTGGCTCTCAATATTACATTTGAGAAAACCCTTTGGTGTTCACCCAGAATGGCAGCTGCAATTCCAGGATTATGGAGACCTGCTTTTCTGCATCCTGTTAACTCCTGCCTTTGACTTGGGAAGAATTTTCAAGAGCATGCACCACATTGTTCATGGCTATAAGGACAAGCATAGCCTATAGACAGAGTAGCCCAGTTCAACTCTCTTTTCAAATTACCTCTGTGACCAACCAAACCAGATTATTTTTTTCCCTTTGCTTTTTTAATTCAACCATCTCCTTCTGAAGTATAGAAAAATCATTCTGAATAGTTTTTACTATTAATAGCTACATGTCCTCCACAGTTCCTAAATGTCTTACACAGTAGGATACCCCAGGATGCCTTCTATTGTTTGTTTTTCAACAATGAAAGTTTAAAATTCTGCAATGTACACTCTGTTTATCTCTCCCCTCATCTCAATACCCTTGATTCTTTCAGAGTCCCTGATTTCACTCTCTCTCTCTGTTTACCTAGGGTATTCTTGACAAGAGCTTTGACAGAAAGTATACAGGGTGGTTGGGTTCACTGGCTATTCCTATGCCAGCTTCTAATTTATTCTTTCACCAGAAAATTTCCAGTCTTTCTGGTGATGTAATCTGTTTCAGCAAAGACTTCAGACTGTTAAGTTAGTCAAGCTTGCCATTCCGATGTGAAGGTAAGATAAGGGTGGCGGTGGTATTTTCAAAGGCTTTTGTTCTACTCCAGGAAAACAAGAATATTACAACTAGGAATGTTCTTTATGTTGCTAAACTCTCTATCAGTGCTTTAAAAAAAAGTAAGTGGGTGCTTGTCCTCTTCCTTCTCCTGGTGGGCTGGCTCCTGCCGGTCCACACCACACAGAGAAAAGACTGTCACAGGCCCACTGTCCGGGTGCCAGCAACTGTCCCTGAATTCTCCAAGCGTGCCGGTCAGCCCCTAGAAAACGAGGAGCCAGGTGGAACCTGAGAACATGTGAATTCCTACCTTCTAAACTGGCATAATAGGGTTTTCAGATAGAAGGACTAAAAAAAGTTTTAAATTATAATGAATTAGTATTAATGATGGCTTCAGCTGTATCCAAACTGAAGGATTTATCAGTTTTCATATTTTTTTAAGAAAAAATCACCTTTCTCTTTGTACTCCAAAACAAATGCCCCGAGGTTGTCAACCCTGATTAGGATTTACTTTTCTCCCGAGTCTTTGAAAAATTCCTTTCTGAGGAATCTCAAGGGTTGCAGGATTTTATTTACTCATTTGCCTATGGTAGGTTTCCTGAACATGGTGGGCTTTAATAAGTTCCCAGGGTAAGACCTCTTCCCGGAGGTGTGTAGCCAGGAAGGCTGAACTGCATATTTACAAATGTAACTGGAAGTTCAGTCTTTTCTAGCCTAAGGCTGTGGGGAGAGGGGTGAGATGGAGACCCTCATTAATTACAACTTTCTTTGACCAGTTTTTCCCTAAGGACCTACCTTTTCTTCTAATTATCTCCATTTCTTTCTCTGTCTTTTCATGGCAGAAAACTGAGAGCTCTTGGCTTCTTTATTAATCAGCTCAGGCTGCCATAACAAAATACCATAGACTTGGTGGCTTAAACAGCAGAAATTTATCTTTTCACAGTTCTGGAAGCTAGAAGTCCAAGATCAAGGTGTCATCCAATTCAGTTCCTGATGAAGGCTCTCTTCCTGGCTTGGAGATGGCCTAACCTCTGTGTATGCACAATTGAGAGCGAGCGAGTGTGCGCGTATGGGTGGGTGTACCAGCCCTCTGGTGTTTCTTCTTATAACGCTAATCCTGTTGGCTCAGAGCCCCACCATTATGACCACATTTGATTTTTTTTTTTGGAGACAGAATCTCACTCTGTTGCCCGGGCTAGAGTGCCGTGGCGTCAGCCTAGCTCACAGCAACCTCAAACTCCTGGGCTCAAGCAATCCTTCTGCCTCAGCCTCCCGAGTAGCTGGGACTACAGGCATGTACCACCATGCCCGGCTAACTTTTTGTATATCTTTTTAGTTGGCCAATTAATTTCTTTCTATTTTTAGTAGACACGGGGTCTCGCTCTTGCTCAGGCTGGTTTCGAACTCCTGACCTTGAGCAATCTGCCCGCCTCGGCCTCCCAGAGTGCTAGGATTGCAGGCAAGAGCCACCACTCCCAGCCATGACCACATTTAATCTTAATTACTTCCTTAAATCTCCAAATGCAGCCACACTGGGGGATTAGAACTTCAACATATGAATTTTGGGAGGATGCAAACATTCATTAGGTAGCAGCCCCCAACAAGCAAGTAGCAGCTAATCAGCCTGCAGCCCAAGGGCAGTTCCAGGCTTCAGGCTGTGGGGAAAGGTCTCCAAACCTGAGAGAGCAGTGCTTAATTGTTAGATGCTTAGCTGGTTGGGTTTTTTGTTGTTTTGTTTTTGTTTTTATTTTTTTATAATGCTTTGTGGGAGGATTCAGAATAGCATAAGAGGTTAAAACCAAACCAAAGATCTTTTTTTTCCTCTTGAGAGATAGAAAATCACAAAGAAGATATTTCTGCAACATATTTGCAGAAGCGTACAACACCTGTATTACTCCACTGATGTGAGACTTAGTTACAAATCCTGGCTCTGGCATTTATGAATTATGACCTCTAGCCAGTCATGTGGCCTTTGTAAAGTAATGTCCTCTACTCTAATACCACCTTGTAGAATTGTGTTATTCAGACAGTGCCTGGTATAGGCTAATATTATGGGGCACTTACGGTGATTGCTACCTTTGACATGTCCCATTCCTGTAAAACAGGGGTCAGAGAAAGGGGAGACTCCCTATTTAGCATTGATTCATATAACACAAATATTCTCAACACATGGAGAGATTAGCCCCAATTTTTACAGACTATAATAGTTTAGAGTTCTTTAAAGTCTTCTGAGGTCATACCTAATAAGTAGACAAATTATGGACACATAGCCCAAAAATTTTATTTATTTAGAAGTAATCATGTAATATTTTCCAAGTATATTCTATACTTTATAAAACATGCTATAAAATAGAAATGGTTAGGAAATAAAACAAAGATTAAAATACAAAGACCACTAAGAGAGAGTGCCAAAATAATGCTTTTTAGACCTTTATTTTAGAGCTATATTATTTCCCTTAATTATGTGGCAGGATGGAAGAGTGGAAAGGACAGGGTTTTGACATCATTCAGAAGTAAGTTCCAAGGCTAGCTGGTATCAGACAGCCATGTTCAAGTCCTGGGTCTGCCATTTACTAGCTGTGTGGCCTGAACCATGCACTTAACTTCTCCATTTCCTCAACTATAAAATGGAAACAATAGATAGGATAGGGCCGTTGTGAAGATTAAATTAGCTAACATACAGAAGGTTCTCAGCTCATGTAGCAGGCTCACAGTAAATTGCTGCTAGGGCTACTTTTACCTCTGGGATGCTGTGCAGGCCACTTCCCTGCTCAAAGCCTAAGGTTCTTTATCTACAAGATGCAGCTATAGGTCACTTATTTTGCAAGCTTGATGTGAGGATGAAAAGAGGTAATAAGTAACTTAGGTGCCCATCTTTCACATTTGCAAGCACTGAATAAATAGTTCCCCACCCTTGTCCCCAACTAAAATAAGAAGCTAAAAAATGATTATCTTGCTATCTAAAGTCTCAAGGAAAACTCACAAATCATATTGAGCCTCCCACAGAGCAAAGCCACACACCCAAGTATGAAATGGGTCCTCTGTCTCTTGCTGTGCTGTACCCTGTGGAAACCCACGTCTGTTGTGGGATGGGGAGAGGCTACACACATAAGTGCATACCCAGAACTCCAGAGTTAAGAGAGCCATTAGCAGGAACAAAGGCTCTGGAAGGGGTCATTCCTGCTGTAGGACTACGCTGTGGTTTGAATGTCTCCCCCAAAGCTCATGTATTAGAAACTTAATCCCCAATGCAACTATGTTGAAAGGTGGGACCTTTAAGAAAGGTCATAAAGGCAGGACTCTCATGGATTAATATTATTGCAAAGGTATATATGTTAAAAAACAAGTTCAGCCCTCTCTCAAGCACTATGGGATGGTGCGGCAAGAAGGCCCTTGCCAGAAGCAGCCCCCTGACCTTGGACTTCCCAGCCTCCAGAACTGTAAGAAACACATTTCTGTTTATTATAAATTAGCAGCCTCAGGTATTCTTTTATGTCAGGACAAAATGGACTAGGACAGGCCATATTTCTCAAACCAACCCATATTTCTCAAACTCTGCTCATGGAATTTTCAAAAACCTGTTCCTCACGCCCCCAACCCACCAAACCCAGTGCTTCTCCAGTTTTCCCATCTCGGTACGTGGCACCACCATCTCCCCAGCCACTCTGTAAGAACCTAGGATTCCTCTTTGACTCCTCCATCATTCATCTAAAGATGCATCTGCAGTTTTCTTCATCTCACATCCCATCCATCTGCAAGTCCTCAGCTGTGCCTCTAAAGACAGGAATCCAGCCCCTTCCCACGACCACTGCCACACCTGGTCTAAACCACTGGTATGTTTGTGCCTGGAATCCTGCAAAAGCCTCTTAACTAGTCTGCAGGGCTTCTTTCCAGGCTGCCCGCTATCCATTCCCCAAGGAGCCAAAGAGATCTTTTTAAAGCACTAATCAGATGTCTCGTTTTTTAAAAACTCTCCAGTGGCTGCCATTGCACTTAGAATAACATTCAAATCCCTTACGCAGTTCAGAGGCATGAGCTGATTCTGCCATTTTCTCTCCTCCCAGAGCACCCTCTGGCCCCATGGGGGTTCTGTGTGCTTGGAGGCCTTTGTCCCTTGCTCTCTCCTTCTCTGGAATTCCCTGGAGATAAAAGATAATCTCCTTAAGAGGCCTTCTCTCAGCTCCCTAAATAAATAAATGTCCTCTCTTTTGATTACACTTTAGCCTATTATCCTATTTTATTTCATTCAGGTACTTATCACTAAAATGATCTTGTCTGTGTTTGTGTTTACTGTCTGTCTCCCCACTAGAATGTAAGCTCTTTGAGGACAGAGACTTTATTTTGTTCATGGCTGTATCCTCAGAATCTAGAACAATGCCTGGTCCATAGTAAGTACTTAAAAATATTTATTGAATGAAGAACATCCAGTAAGGTCATATCACCTCATGTACAAGGACTATGGCAACTTTTTACAATCTAGAACCTTCCACATTATCCCCAGCTGATGGAAGTAGTGTCACTGTTTTGTCACCTGACCTCCAGTTCTCTAAATGAGGCTGTATTCTTGGGATTGTATGAGGTCTACAGTAGTTTTTAAATTTTTATTTTTATTGCTCTGATAATTTAAAACAATTCATAGGCACATATTCTAGATCAGGGGTCCTCAAACTTTTTAAACAGGGGGCCAATTCACTGTCCCCCAGACCATTGGGGGGGGGCGTTGGAGAGTGCAGCACACATTCCACACATGCGCACTGTGGGCCTGGGACGAGTTGGCTGCTAAGCAGGATAGGCAGTGGTGGCAAAAACACCCAGTGGGCTGGATAAATGTCCTCGGCAGGCCATTATTTGAGGATGCTAGTTCTAGATCATCTGCAGTGGCCATGGGCATCTGAGGTATTCACCCCCTCTAGTATGCATCCCATACAAAACCAAGTCCATATGGGATGGGGGTGAGGGAGCTTCTGCTCTTGGAAGGACCTACATATCTATATACATAAAATGAATGCACTGAACTCCAAAGATTTTTTGTTTGTTTTTGAGACAGAGTCTCACTCTGTTGCCCTGGGTAGAGTGCCATGGCGTCAGCCTAGCTCACAGCAACCTCAAACTCCTGGGCTCAAGCGATCCTCCTGCCTCAGCCTCCCAAAAGCTTTTATTTTTTAAAATTCTGTATATCAGTCACATCTGCTGGTCCTTGTTCCACCCAACTTTGGCAGAAAGACTAGTGGTACAGAATAATTCAGACTCAAGGCAAAAGTTTAAAATGTTAGGTTTTTACCCACCTGTATAATTTTTTTAAGTGTCTTAGTTCTTTCTGTGCTATGGCAGAATGCTGTAGGCTAGATAGTTTATAATGAACTGAAATGTGTTGGCTAGCAGTCTGGAGGCTGGGAAGTCCAATATCAAAATGCCAGCATCAGGCGAGGGCCTTCTTGCTACATCTTCACATGGTGGAAAGTGAGAGTGTGAGAGAGGGCCAGCCTCACCCTTTTACAGCAACACTGATCCCACCCATGAGAATGGAGCCCTCTGGCCTCTTCATCCCTTTAAGGTCCCACCTCTTAATACTGGTGCAATGGCAATGAAATTTCAACGAGTTTTAGAAGGGACATTCAAACCACAGCATTTAAATTAATGTCCAGGAAAATAACACTGATGTGCATTCCTTTACATGGAAAGAAAATAGAAAGTACTAGTTCCTGTTAGAGAAAAACCAGTGCTCTATGTATGTCTCAGGAATGCTCCGTGACTATTAACTAGCAATGATACCGTGTTTCCCCAAAAATAAGACAGGGTCTTATATTTATTTTTCCTCAAGAAGACACCCTAGGGCTTATTTTTAGGGGATGTGTTACTTTTTTTAAGTATGGTACAACAGTCTACATTTATTCAAATATAGTTAAGCCATCTTCTTCTGGAACATCATCATAGGTCTCCAAACCCTGAATTCCATCCTGAATTTCTTGCGACTCTATTTCCTTTAGAACCATTGGCCCCAATCTCTCATGTCAAGCAATTAAAGCTCTCATGGGGCAGATGAGGAGGGCTGTTTGTCTTCTTTACCAATCCACAACGACAAAATGCATGGGTTGTGGGGCTACTCTGCGTAGCCACGCCCATCGCTAGGTCTTATTTTCAGGGTAGGGCTTATATTACGCAGATGCTTACAGATCCTGCTAGGGCTTATTTTATGGGTAGGTCTTATTTTCAGGGAAACATGGTATTTCTATGACCATGCTGGCTTCTAGGTGACTAAGTTTTTAAATTTATTAAATACCTGCTTTCCCACATATGGCCATACTATGTAATTAATTGAAACATCATTTTTCTCCTGTTATGAAAAATTCTTTTGCAGCTTTTGAGAATTCCGGGAGCTGAGAAGATACTTAGTTTTATGGGAGCAGGTGATGCAAAGGGGCAGAGTGTGTAATCCAGGGGGGATCCAGGACAGAGGCCCTCCTGTTCTTACGCCTTGAGAGGCAGAGTGTGGCAGGGTTAGACACACGCCCTGCATCAGGGAGAGCTGCGGTACAGCCCTGGCTCTGCCATCGCGTGCGCTGTGACCTTGGGCAAGTTACTAACCTTCCTCAGCCTTGGTTTCCCTGTCTATAAAATGGGGAGCAATGATAGTACTTATCGTATAGGGTCGTAGTGAAAATTAAAGCTGTTGTCAGCGTGCCTGGCCCAGAGTGAGTGCCCGGTCAGTATTCCACGGACGGCAGACGTTGATTGGCTCAGGCGCTCTGCCTCTTGCATTTGTTCTTATTTGGACCCCAGAGTCTGCTGTTGGGATGACTTACACACACATTTATTGATTTAGTAGTTGTGATGGATCTAATAGAGCACACAGAAGGCTTAGGCACCATGTTGTGTCGCTGTCACTGATGAGCTCTGTAATCTCAGATAAATCTCTTCACCTCTCTAGGTAGTTTACATCTTCTAAAAAGGGAATCATGAGACTTGCCCTGCTTGACAGCGTTCATGAGGATTAAATGAAATTTAAAAATGCTTTTAAGGTTTAAAATATTATGCAAGTGAAAATATGGTCTTATGGACAACTTGGAATGCATAGACATGAATAACAAAGATTTTTAACATAGTGGTTGGTGATGGATCTTTTCTGTTTGGGAATGCATCCAAATTCTGCCATGAGCAATTCCCCCCCCCCCATTCATTCTACATATGATCTCTGTGAAGAAAGCATTTCATCTCTACTTCTAACGGCCGACGACCACTGCCCGCATGGCAGAGGCTAAATCAATGCATGGGTGGAGAACCCGCCCCGTCAACTTTGTCTTCCATGTATTTATTTACCAGGTGTCACCAACACATCATCATCCAGTGGGCACAGGAGAGCAGAGACAGCACGGCCACACGATCCTGTCCTCCCCACCCAGGGGCACCGTCAGCCTAAGGTGGGACTCCTCAAAACGCCACACACCTCATCTCAAGGGAATTAGCTGTAAGAACAGAACAACAAACAGAAGCCAAAGAGATGATCGTCCGTAAAATGTATCCACAATCTCGGAAACACCCTCTCTTTTTTTCCCCCATGGCTTTTCCATTCATTAACTACTAATGAAGATTTTTTGGGTTTTTTTTTTTTGCGGGGGAGGGGGCAGTAATGGTTTTCAGTAAGTTTTCTTGCAGAATATGTAATAGTGATTATTGGGTCTAGTTAGAGTCATGCCGTATCAGCCTCTGTATTTAAAGGAGCTACAAGATACAGTTTTTGATACAGATCAAGCAGGGTCTCCCTAGGGGAACACGGTAGTCCCCTTTTATCTGTGGTTTCTCTTTCTGTAGTTTCAGTTACCCACAGTCAACCACAGTTCAAAAATATTAAAGGAAAATTCCAGAAATAAACAATTTGTAGTTTTGAATTGCATGCCATTCTGAGTAGCATGACAAGATCTCAGGCACCATCCTGCCCAGGGCATGAACCCTCCCTTTGTCCAGCCTGTCCCCACGGTCTGTGCCTCCCGCTCGTTAGTCACTTACTTAGTAGCCAGCTGGGTTGTCAGATCAGCTGCTACAGTGTCACAGTGCTTGTGTTTCAGTCACTCTTACTTTACTTATTCATGGCCCCAAAGAGCAAGAGCGGTGATGCTGGCAATGCAGGCATGCCAAAGAGGAGTTGTTAAAGAGCTTCCCTTAGGTGGAAGGGTGAAAGTTTTTGACTGAATACATTAGGAAAGAAAAAAAAAAAATGACATGCTGATCTTACTGTAGATCTTAGCAAGAATGAATCTTCTTCCCATGAAATTATGAAGACAGAAAAAGAAATTCATGTGGGTGTTTACATATAGGGTTCAGGACTATCCAAGCTTTCAAGCATCCACTGGAGGTCTTGGAATGTGTCTCTTGTGGGTAGGTGGGGACTACTGGACTAGAAATTTGAGAAGGGAGCACCTAGAAGTATATATTTAAAAACTTGAAAGAGCAATGGTGTTCTCTGTTGGCATTTCTTATGTTTACTTATTTCATTCACTTTTTAAAAGATGGCCAGATGGACATGTCCGCAAATGGACAAATAGAAGCTTAAGGGCTGTAGTACCTAATAGTAACAGCTAAGTATAGGGGCCATGGACACATCCAGCATATGTTGAAGTCTGAACCTAGAGAGAACCCTCCTATATTCTCTCCCTCTCTCCCCCTCCCTCGCTCTGTTTTGAGCTCTCCATAGAATGCCCCTTGAATTCTTCCCACTGAACTAATCTTCCTCGTCTGTCTCACAGGAAGCCCAGGGGAGAGGGCAAAAAATGCCGGAAGGTGTACGGGATGGAGAATCGAGACATGTGGTGCACCTCCTGCCGCTGGAAGAAGGCCTGCCAGAGGTTCATCGACTGAGAGATGCCCAGGCCTGAGCACTCCTGCCCTGGCCCTTCCGGTGTAGGTGTTGGAAAGAGCTTTTCCTTCCAAATAAAACACACTTGAAGCCCAGGAAAAGCACTTCCAGAAACCTTGGTGGAGTGACAGCAACAACAAAAGTCACCACCCTTACTGCTCTTCCTGAGAACCCAGCCCAGAGCAGCTATTACTATTTTTTTTTTCCCCTTCAAAAGAAAAGTCAACTTTTTTGCTGTATGTCTAGGTCTTAAAACTGTGGACTTTTGAAACAATTGAACCAACAAAGCCCGTTTTACCTAGAAAGGCATATTTTGATAAGCTTTCTGAATTATGCCGTTTCTGAGATTTTTTTGACAAACACACACACAAAAAATAAGCTACACATTATTCAGTAGCAATTGTACAAAGAACAATACCTGCTTTTGTTGTGAATAATCTTTTCCCTGTTTTCCATTTGACTTCTTGGAGCAGTACACATCATGATGTGTTGCAAGAAAGTGCAGCACGCTGGGTATCTTTTTCTATGTCTTTCTGTTTGTTTTGTTTTTAAGAATGGCTCCAAACTGAACCATGGTAGAGCTGTTAGCTTGGTGGGCCCCAGATGGCACAAACTCGAAAAGCAATTGGCCGTGGAAATCACCAGCAGACATCAGCCCCAAGCTAAGTTCAGGAAATCCAGCTGTCACTGTTGGGAAACATCTAGGAGTCTTCCTTGGATTTATAAGAAGCTCTTCCCCACGAGGCAGCACAGCTAATACTCTACCTGCCACAACTCAGTCAAGAACTGGCCCCCGTAGCCATCTGGGTAAGCCTTGATGCTTCTTTCAGGGATGGGATGCAAACAGCAGCTCGGATCTATTTGTTACCGCGTGTCTGTCAAGACTGTAGCCAGGTTAATGGGTCATTGGTCCTTCCCTCCAAACTCCACCGCTGGCTGACTTCAGAAAAAGGTAGAGAACTCCAAACTCTCCCAGCAGGTTTGCTTTAGACAAAGAACACAGCAGACATGTCCCCATCTGTTCAGAAAGTCACGTTAGGTCCACAGACCACTTCCATTCTGAGTGCACTTTTATAGGTTTTATGCTTTAGCATGTATGGGAGATGGGTTAACGAACAATATAAACATTATATGGGTAAATGGGAGGTCCAAACCTTTATTTTTCTTATAAAAATATGGGAGCTATTCAGTAAGAATTTACTCAAAAGGGAACATACAGAACACCAAAAGGAAAATGCACGTGGGTATAGGAATCTCTCAGTTTAGCAGGGTCAGGGCCAGTGCTGTGTTCCACCGACTGGCCTTTCTAGCTTGGTGTGTTTGCTTGCTGTTGTTGGTTTTGGTGGTGCTGACGTAGGGAGAGGGGAGTAGTTGTCAAGCCCTATAAATAAGCTCATTTTCTATCTCCCCTACTGTCGACTGCCCTGCTGAAGAGTTCTTTCTCCTATACCTATGCAAAGAAGCAAGAGCACCTTAGAGGAGGTACTGTGTAGGGAACAAGGGACGTGGGATCAGCCATAGGAATGTTCAATGAAATTGCACAGAGGGAAGTTTAATATATGTTTTGAGCTTGTACATATGCTTTTTAAAAAAAGAGTAAGTAGAAAGAAGTCATCTAGTAATAACAGATATCCTTTTTATATATATAAGCAAGGGAAACTATCAGGAGGTTCTGCAGTGCAACATCCACAATCTGTGCATTCAGATATTTTGGCAATTTATTTTTTAAACGGTCATATAACTTTTTAAAAAAATTATTCCTTGGAAGAGATTCTGGGTTTTTTGTTTTTCCTTTTTTCTTTAAAAACACTTATTTCTATTTCAAGAGAACAGATCTAATTTCACATCTTGATTACCAATCAATACTAGGCACAGCACCAGCTATATTGTATGTTTAGTACTTTTACAAGGTCAGCATTACAAGGGCATTTTTTTAAAATGCAAAACTACGTTTGCTTCCTCTGCCCTAGCATGTCCTTCCCCCTCCTGGTGTCCTGTCACTTCACCTGCAGCACCACTGCAGATGATACGATGCTCTGGCCTGGTCCAGGAGGCCCTGAACGACGGGCAGATTGCCCAGTGGGCATGGAAAGGCCAAGGCTGGTTAACTGTTTGAGCAAATTCACTGTGTAAATGAGAGTCAGGGGACAACCCTGGACCAGAGGTTTTTCTCTTTGACAAAATCCAGATTGATCAAGGCTCTGGCCCTTGATCCTTGGATTGAGTCACTAATCAAAAAAGATTGAAGTGGTGAGGGGTCAAATCCACCCCTCCCAGAACTCTGGAACACAAGAAGGGAAAGATCTTTACTGTGGAGTAGTCCTGGAGCAAGGCCCTATGGCTCTCAGCCCCAAAGACGCAGCCCATGAGCAGTTTGAGCTCTGGCTTACCTGAGGCCAACTCGCTCCTTACCGAGTTGTCAGCCAGTGCACAGGTGCAAGCAGAACCGTAGAGGTGAATGCAGCTTCCCTGGGATTTCTTCTCCTTTCTAAAGCCTTCTCCACACACACTTCTCTGAATCTCCTGCCCGAGTCGGGGCTCCTTTCTGCTGGCTAACCCAGGGCTCTGTGTACTTTCTTCTCCGGCCTCGGGTACGGACAGACCCTCAGTACCTTCCTGGACACACAGACATACATTTCCTGTACCAAGGCATGTACTAACTAGGAGACCACCAAGTGACACCTGGTTGGCCTTGAAGAAAAGGGATTATGCTTCGTCCAAGCCACCAAGAAAGCTATGAATTTCAATCTACAGCGGCTGGTTGTAAAAGTTAAAATTTTTTGTTGATGTAGAGTTATTTTGTTATATCTTGCAACTAAATGAAGTGCCAAATTAAGCCAGACTTTCATTTTATGCCATCCCTGTGGAACCAAGTTGCTTAGTGTGTGTGATCACTTGGCAGGAGGAGGGGGAAGGGTGGGAAGCGGGCTGGAGCCGTGTCCATCCCGGGGAGCCCAGAGGCCTGTCTGTGTGAAGGGAGTGGCGATACAATGGATTCCCGTCCCCAGGTATTTCTAAATAAGGCATGTGGTAGCCTTTTGCTTTTTTGCTCCCTTGACACCCCTTCCTTCAAAAAAAGGTTTCTCATCTCTCTCCAAAGCAGCATTTCACGGTGACTGGCAGGGCATTCTCCAGATACCCGCAACCATAGTATTCATCAGGCAGTAGTTTTAAGACTTAGTCCTTCCCAGGTGCCATGTGCTCAATGTGTGGGAGGCAGTGTGACAAGATGGAGAAAACACCTGGGTAGCAAAGGGGTCAGGGGGGAGATACGAGAGGCCTGTGGACACCTGGTCCCACTCATCTTCTTGGTGCTAATCAGCCAGTGGTAACTGTCCCCGAGCACCTCCCCGGGAACTGCCCCGTTCTCCCGCTGGAAGCAGCTGCCTGGAGCGAGGAGAGGGCCCGGAGCCACTTCCCTGAAGGCGTCGAGAGTGCAGGGCTGTCTCTAGCAGGCAGCCTCATCCCGAGCGGACGTGGACTTCCCTCCACCTCATTTGGAGGAGAGTTTCTCCCGTGGCTGGCAAGAGCCAGCGTCAGGAAGAGAGCAGTGGGTTTCTCACCAGGAAGGTGCACGCTCGGCTGCAAAGTGCCTGTCGGCAGCTCCATGTACCAACGAGGTGCCCTTTATTAGACGATTCCTTGCCCGGCCACAACCACATTGCAGGTGACAATTTTCAGTAGAGAATGACCCGTGTTGCAGTTCTTGGGCTTCCCCAAAGAGATAGTCACATGTATGTTACAAAAGATTTCAGAAACTGAAATGTCCTCCATAAAATTGCAAGATCATTCAACTTTTAAATCTGCTGTCTCTGGTGTCAAACTAAGCCACATTTTTGGAAGTGGCCCTGGGGTTATGCGTTAGCCAGCGCTGCTGAATTCCTGTCCCACTTCATCAGACCCCATTGGAAAACGGAAGTGCACCATTCACTAGAGAAGGCTCAGAGAAAGGTGGCAAGAACTGTACATAGAGGAGAGAATACCTTGAGAATAGTAGCAAAATACTGTAAATTATATTCATTTCCTCAGGGAAAAATAAAGGGCATGTGAAAAATAGGTCTGGAGAATCCTAAGACCAGGAAGAATTTTGTTATCTGTAAAGTCGTTGCTAGTCAGAACAAGTTTTTTCAAGTGATATCATTTCAAGACAAATTTCAGTGAACTGGACAGTACCGACTTTTCAAGGTGGAGGGGAATGGCCCATGAACAGGAGCTGTTTTCTTGGTAGCTGACCTGTAGTCCAAGACGGACGTTGGAACCACAGGCCAACGCCTGGGGGATATTCATAGACTCTCGTAAGGCTTTTTCTGAATGTAATTGTGAATACAAAGCCTTGCTGTTCCTTTCTATAATCACCCAATTGGGTGACTGTTTATTAGCTATAAGCAGAGTTCTGTAGGTGAAAGCAAGCCGTTAAAGATGTGCATTTTGCTTTAATAGCATGTTAAGGAATAAACTTCCATGGACTTTTGTGGAGAAGGTGCTGCTTTTTCTCACGAGACCCCGTAGAATTTCTATCGACCACATCATCTGTAGCATTGACCTGTGTGAACTCGGGGGGAGAATTTGTGCATACAAATGAGTGGAAACAGAGCAGGATTCATGAATATGCATGAGAATGTGGATCATTCTGGAGAATGCACTGGGCACGCGGGTCAACTGGAAATTTCATTTCTCTAAGGAAGTAGCCCTGCGAGCAGCACACAGACTCTCCCATTCCTCAAACTTGTGGGGATGCCTCTGCATCGAAACTGGTTCATTGTGTCTTTTTCCCATTGTAACTACCAAACCTGAAATCAGTGAATGAAATGAGATTAGCACTTTTAGGTACCAATTGTATCACTGAGGAATGCACACCAATAGAACAAGAAAGTATAAAATGTATTATAAGACCAACTGGTTTGCTTAGTATGACTTAACTTTGAAAAAGTCCATATTCAATGATATATATGCTTTAAAAGGTGTATCCATCATAGGACTAGCAATCAAAATGGGAATCTTACTTCTGGTCCTGTTTTGTAAATAGTTCCTTCTTTTGAAGACAATCTCATGTTTTATAACTTTTGTTGTGGGTCTGAGAATCACAATGGTGATATGTTTATGGCAAAATGTAATCTTAAAGACAATAATAATGATGACTTAATTTTCCAAATAAAACAAGAAATATACTGCTTAGGCTTCTACAGTTCTAAGAGACATGACACTTTTATAATACGCATTAATACTCAACTTCTCAAGTTAACACAACTGGAAATATTTTACAAGATGCAGTGTTTTGTAATCACAAAGAACATGAACATTTTGTGGGAAATGACCTTGGTTTTATACATTGTAGCTTATTTTTTAAAATATAGTATTTTACCAGACAGGAAATGTTAATATTATAAGCAATTCCTGCTCACCAAACAAAGGGCTATGCCTCTTTTAAGCAAGTGTTTTGATGCATATCTTTTCAATTAACCCTCTGCAAGCAAAGGTAGAAATGCGGATCAGATGGAATGGTTATTACAAGAGAATCAAGATAGCAACAGCTACTCCTTTTATCATTACCAGTCTATTAATTTACCATTAATTACCATTATTTAATTTTCAAAGAATTATGGGAAAGGCACTTGAAGAATCAGCATATATATTTTAAATCTAAAAAAATGTTAACAGATATGCTTATAGGCTCTGGGAGAAATATTCTTATAAATTCTTTCGGGTAAAATGATAAATTCCATGTCGAAAACACAAGTTTACCACTTGACCTACCAGAACCACAAACCTACATTTAACTAGCAAGTATCATTTGGTAGAAATTTCTAAAATCATAGTATGAAGGTTCAAAGATAGAATTCTTCGGTGATCAGTAGCACTTACATTAATTTTGTCCTCAGCACTAACTAAATAACTTTAATTTCCTTATCAGAATAAGTGCTTGATTTTTCACTGTGAAAAACTGACAGGCACACAAGGTTGCGATCGCAAAGTGACTGGGTTCCCAAGTCAGGAAACAAGGAGGGGAGCTGTGGCGAGTCTATTATAACTGCTCAATTCTGAACTTTGCCAAAACCATTTCATAATGATGTATAGTTTTATTCAAGCCCACTCACTATTAAAACAAGAAAGCATTGTTTTAAGATTGATAATCCAAAAACTATCCTAATTAGCCAAGTACACAGATAAAAATCAAAAGAAAAGCTGAGACAGAATAGCCATACACCTACTGGGCAACTCTTGTGAGGTGGTCAGAAGGTCACTCTGACCTTGGTTTCAAATAGGCTTTGGAACCTGCACACATGAGGACCAGAAATGCACAGAGTTAGGGAAAACCGTGTACAGCCTTGGCTCCCAGTCTTTGAGATGAGTCAACCAGCAAATCTCTATCTTCATTCCCTTGGAATATTTCCATTTTAGTATTGAAGTCCCCAAGAAATGTTTATTTCTGTATAGTTGTGAATCAAATGAGTCTCCCCTCATCTTTAAATAGAAGCTTCCTAATAGTATAAAGCAGAGTTTGCCAATTTAGATGCCTTAGAAGGGCAAAGCAAGTTCTGTAATGATCCATGTAGTAGATTAGACAAAAAGGGACACTAGGAATGTGAGATCCTATTGAAACAGAGAACACTTGCCCCCTTTGAAGGAATACTCAGCTCTAGACAATCAGAACCATGAAGAAATCAGGCCCGGGGCTGCCAGATCTTCTGACTTGGAAATATATTAACTGACACTTGAAGTGTTGACAACTAACTCAAGTTTTTGGCCAACACTGTACAGACCAAAGAGAACCTGCATGTGGGTGAGTGCAGCCTGTGGCCACCAGTTTCACCTGTTGGAGAAAACAGATCCCACATTCCATGGGTATAAGGCCAAGTACATCCATCAGCCCCACAAACCCACATGTTGCCACTATCTAAACAACTAAAATAAAAGAAGGGAAAGAGGTCATTTCTCCCTAGAAATCATTCTCCTGGAAGACTCGGATATAGAAATGCAATGTCTTTAGCCTTGCCTCGGATCAAAATATAGTGAGTTACCCAGCTCTGGCACTCTGCCTCCTTCTGGCGTGCCCAGGCCGTGCCCCGAAGCATTGAATAACTGTAATCCTGATTTTCATACTGTTTTCACTGCCGTGACCACTGTGATGAGGGGCTGGCAAAGAGCAGCCTCGTGCCTTCAGAGAAGGCAGGCAGGAGCCCCTGATGTTTTAAGATAGCACACACCTCCTTGTGCCAAAGCCCTTTGCCAACCTCTCCACACCCTCCCCTCCCCATCTCCCCTCGTGAGTCTTCATGCCAGGGTAAAATTACCATTGTTGCACCTCTGATATGGCAAAGTCCTTGCTTCAGAACTGGTAGGCACTTAGGTATCTTGGAGCGTCCACTAACTTCCAAAGGGTGTTTTCCCCCGTACAAAAGCTTAACATCTTTGAGGGCAAAAGCAAAATGGAAATAAACGTGTCATGAAAAATATTAGAAGTTGCTTCCCTGGCTTGGATGGACCAACTCATTTTGAACTGTATCTTACATCCTGATGGCATCAGGATAATCACTAACCCTTTCCCAGATGTAATAAAGAATGTCTCTTTCAGACACGTTATTCCGTTTGATCTTCAAGAATCCAGTGTAGAACAGGGATAGTTAGAATCACCATTACCCACCTCCAAGGCCAACCCAGAGTAATCTTGAACCTGAGAGGCAGCCTCAATTTTGCTTGTGAGGAGGAGGGAAAGGGCTCAGTGAAGGGCTGGCTCAGACGGTCTCTTCCAGAATGACTCGAGACCTAACAAGACCTAGGGACCCACCATGTCTCAACCCGTCCTTTCAGTCCAGGACTTTCAGCATAGAAGTAAACAGCCCACTCATTCATGTGGCCAAGTACAAACCTAAATGTATCCCTTTACTAATCCCCAGTGCCTAAATTCTAACCAACTAAGTGGTTAATTATCAGATTTTCCTTGCTAATGCGATGTTCTGAGTAAAAGTTTTGACTCCTTGGGAAAACTGCTTCGCTGCTAGTATACAACATTTGCCATCTATGGAAACTTCAATTGATGCCAGAAAATTTAAAACCAGCTCAAAATTTACAGATCTGTAATGATCAAATCAAAATGTAATGTAAACCCAAAGTTGGAAATGCCTGGTAATATAGTTTAGTCATGTTTAAATATGAATGCAATTTACATAAGATTGGCAATGTAATGTGAATGATTAAAAGGCAGTCCAATATATGAGTGGATTTCATCTTATCCTTCACCCATTAGTTTATCATCTCGAGTTTAGAGTAAAGCCGCTCACAGGCAGCTTAGCCATGGAGCTGGAAGGAGTCTGAGAAATCCAGTTTGGCCTGACACCTACTTCATTAGCATTCATTTTGATTAATGATACTTTTGTCGCGTTTCTGAAGTAACACAGTGCTGGAGGACGAACCTCCAGTTTAGCACCTTCCTCCTCTGAGGGAAAAGCAGCCCCTTTTGCAATGGATATCACCATCCTGTGACTGTGGCAAGACTTAAAAAGACCCAAGCTTTAGGGGACAAGAAGAAAACTATCATTCCAAAAGCAGATAACTATAGATTTTGAAAAAAAAAAAAAAGGTGGAGAAAGTAGTTAAATGATAGTCCTTGTTTCTTAAAAATGTTCTTTCTCGTGTTGGGCACCATCCACATAATTATTAACTACCACCTTCTAAAGAGAAGATCCCCTTTATATTATGAAAATATGAAAGATAAATTCTTAAGTCTAATTAACTATGAGGTTCTCTTATAAGGGCCAATTCCCTAAATTTTTAATTCAGAAAATTAGGGTAGAAAGCGACAACTCCTGAAAAAAGGTAAAAGAGTTGTCATTAAAGCAGATAATGTTCTTTAAAGAAAAAAAAAAAAAAAAGGAAAGGTGCTCATCTGTTTTCTTCTGATTAATCCCTAACTAAAGAGGAAAACCAGCACTCTGGAGGAAAAAATTGAGCTCTAAGAGAGAGAGAGACCATTCTGGTTCCTAGTCTTGTTTTGTCCACATGGCCCCTAAGAATTTGCTAGACGAACATTACTCTCCCCTCCTTGCCCTCATGTTCCCAAGCCAGAGGCCAGGCTGTAGTGTGTGTTCGCTTCCAAAGCCCGTGATGGGACCTTCTTGCTTCTGTGCTGATTTCTCTCTCTCAAATTAAGGTCCAAGGGGATAGATAAATGTTACTGTGGTTGGTACATTAGGCTCAATGTGGCCACCACCTTCCTTGGTGTCGGGGGAGGGAATTCTGTCTGTCTGAACAGTTTGAGGCCATCAGGAGGAGAGCAGCTTGGTCACTGGACAACCAGCCTCACTGAGCACAGGAGATTTGTTCAGACTCACGATAAAGAGTAGCCAGGCAGAGACCCAACCCTTGCACTGTGCCTCAAAGCCGCATGCAAGCCACCTCCCCACCAGGCCCCCCCACACACACGCCAGGCTCAGAGAGATCAGAACCAGCAGGTGGAGCGGGCACACGTTCAAGGAGCCAAGAGGGCAGGGCGAGAGGGCTCCACTTCGAATTACTCCAGGCTCTGACCTCTGCCTGCAATTACAGAACATGAAAACAGGAATTGGCCTTTAGTATGTGAAAAGGAAGTAGCTCCTGCAGGGCATGATTGTTTTAATTTTATATTTATGGAGAAAGAAAATGACTCCAAGCCGCTCACGTTAAGCACTTGTCTCTCACTCCAGTGCCAGCCCCTTCCCACGTTCTGGGAACAGATGTACCGGGCCGAGAGGACAGAGCCAGAACTCTTAGGGCCAGTGGCTGCCGGAGTTTGAATTGCCCCTTAAACTACCCCACCCACCCACCCACGAAAGGGTGGAGGAGCAATGCATAACCTTGCAGATTACAAACCCTTGTTTTACTTTTTAAACCTTTCCTTCCATACTCTGCGTATTGGAAATCAATGGCTGTGATTTGACCAACCCCTGTGACAACGGCAAAGCCTCTCCTTTCCACAGTATCCCAACTGTTTGGGGAACCTCCTTGACCACTGGTAGAAAGCTTTAGAATAGACTTAGATTTTTAGGGAAGAATTCAAAAATCCCCAAAATTTACTAGTCCCATGACTTCAATAATAACTAAAAATTCCCTGGGTATAAATTAACCCAGGAATGTGGATCATATATGTAAAAAAAGAAAAATGCCATTAATCAATATTTTCCTACAACATACCCTAAAATTCTTATTTTTGTAATTAATGGTTGGATAACAGTCAGCCATTTAAACATACACTCTCTGGAATAACCAGACATTAGAATAGTTTCCAAAGTGTTTTGTGTATCAAAATCCTATATACTTAGAAGAACTCAGGATAAGAAAAAATCGCTAGGTCCCAAAGGGTTCACGACTATCATCAAATGCAACTGCTGAGTGGCCAACAGTCATTTTTTTTTTTTTTCAAACGAGAAGACTGGAGAGAGAGAACAATAGTAATTACAAAACCTCGGTTGCCCTTAGCCCATGATAAGGTTTAAGAAAACTCTGCTTTTAAACATTAAGCCATCTTTCAAATTGTTTTCTACACCAAATCTAAAAATATGAAAATGAAATTATTAAGTATTTTAAATGGGGTGGTTAGTGGAAATGCAATCAGTAGAAAGGTTGCTTTTTAGTGCCTGCTAAATAGAGGCAGGGAGATAGACCAGCGGGAAGACAGCAGTCCTTCCTTTGTTATGTGAAAATGACAGGCGTGCACATGTCATTGGGCACTAATTCAGAAGCTAGATGGCAGTGCTATCCAATGTTTAGAGATCTTTTGAAATACAATCTTACCACCCTTCGGAGGTAAGTACTTGCTTACAAAAGTCTTTAATATTGGTGAACGAATGTATAAAATTATAAACTATGCATTTTCAAAGAGTAACATGTATTTTGTAATTAATCCAAGTAAATTTTTTTTCATAGCTACTTATCACAACTGCAAATTATCCAAAATAAACTTGAACACATATGCTCATGGGTATGTGGGATGCCCCCCTCTCTCTTCTCCTAGTTGATGTTTTTAAAGATGGTGTATTGAAACTTTATTCTGAAACTTCAGGCTCTAAAAACGTTCCACCACTACGGTGAATGATATATATTTTACTTCTTAAGCATAAATGGGAAATGTTGGCTGTTACAAAATGTGCCCAGTGCTTTATAGGCGGATGTTCTAGTAATGTTGGATTAACAAGCAAACAAAAGTGCATAAAATGAACGAGGATCGCATTGGATAAATTGGCATAGGTTTTGTCTGTTGTGTTTAATTCTCAATCCAAGAAAAAAAATATTCTTCAAAGAGTTTGGGTTCTAGAGCTTCAAAGAACAAATGAACATACTGTCCAGAAAAGCAAATCACTGATCTTTTTTCAAAATTACATAGAGAGACAATGACTTATATTTTAGAAAGTCTATATAGAATATACACAGATTTCTTCAGCCCTCTTGTTGATTTCATATTTTCATAAAACCTTTTCTCCTAATAATTTGTCTTTGCTCTTTAATCATTGCTTTATACTGTGTTACTCAGCATGAAAAAATATTCTTTCATCTGACAAAGTGGAAATAAAGAACTCCATATTTCTCTGCCATCCCGGTTCTCTTCTATGTCCATTGAGAAAGTTTATCAACTGTATGTAAAATATGAAAAAAACACTTCTAAACCTGATACTTAAGGTTATACTGGATTGTTTGCTACCTAATACGAAGTTATTGTGGGAGGGCAACGTGTCTTTTTATATGATTTTTAGCCAAATCCAGATGTTCTGATACTACATTTCTGAATACCTATCTGACTGTAAATACAGCCTGTGGAGGTTCAGGTTGATAATAAACCTTTTCCATGACTGTTCCTCAGCCATGCTCCTTGCCAACTTTTGGCACATTGTACATAGATTTGTTGAATGTTTAAATGATGTTGTTTTTCTAAATGCTGTTCTCTAAAACAATCTTTTGAATGTTTTTTGCTTTTCATTGTTTTGGACTTTGTGTGTTAGTTTTTAAAAAAAAAAAAATGTTTCCTAAATTGTTAACACCAGGAAAAAAATATTTTAAAATAAACTGGTGCTAATTGAAACAGGCAAGAAAAATTGTGGATTGAAGACGTACAATAGAAAATGTTCACACCAGTTAAACTGCACTTTCCCGAGGGGACAGCTGGCATCTACCTGAAATAGGCATCAGGACGGCCACCAAATGTTTACAGTTTCTGTGGCTCGTTTAAGTGTGAAATGTAGAAGCGGCTCTGTCCCACCCCCCACCCCCAGAGTTGAGGATTTGCTACACTGGTCCTCTGGAAGCATTTTAAGTAGAAGAAAAGGCTTGTAGTAGGAACCACTTTAGTAATAGTCTTCTGGTCTTTGGACGTTTATGTTCTGTAATGCTTAGCTGTGACAATGACTTTGGTGTTGCCAATCTAGTCTGACATCATTGTTGACCTGTACTTACTCTGTGTATGGTTCTACCTTGGGTTGCACTGGCTGGAACCGAGCCAGAACACTGGACTTTCAGTAAGACAGACCATTCTGACTTCTACAGTGTCCACACACATGAATTTAAATGCACTTGTAACTGGTTGATTACCATGAAGTAAGTCTAACTTCCACTTAATAAAAGTTTTTGTGTATCTGCTTCTATTTGGGGGCCATTTATTTAAGTAGAGAATAACTAATTCATACCAGGAAATGCTCACTGGGGTTAGAGGGTTTGGGGCTTTACCTATAGTTTGTAAAAACCAAGGTAATTGAAAACCAAGGAAACATCTTCCCCATATCAACTATTCACCATCAAGGCCATACTTAGAGATATGTAGAAGGCATGCATCTCTTCTAGTGTTACGCCCTGCTGATGGTGACTTACACCCATCTGCTTGGCAGTGACTGCCCAGATACATCAGCTATGCACTGTGTCCTGCTGATCCTGTCGTCCCAAGCAAGCAGACACAATGTGGCAAACAGAGAAAAAACAAGATCCTTTCTGGTGCTAAGCCAGCCTGCAGACACTGCCCCAGGCCAGTCTGTGTCCCCTAGAACTTGATACGTTCGCCTACAGAAGCCAAACATGCCTATGTGTTCAGCAAGGTAGCAGGCTTTGGAATTAGACGTGGGCACAAATCTGAGTTTTGCTTCTTACTAGATGGATAACTGGACAAGTGGTATAACCTTTGTAAGTCTCACACTTACAATGGGAATGACAATAAAGAGAAAATTGATTAGCTTGACTTGGACAAGCTCTTCACTCCTAATGCACTCAGTCTCAGCTGGAGATTGGGAGGACTGTGATTCACGGCCTACCACCTGGGTCAGAAAAGTTCCTACGTGCAGGGGTCCTCAGACTACAGCCCTCGGGCCACATGCGGCCCACCAAGGACATTTATCCGGCCCACCGGGTGTTTTTGCCGCTGCCTGTCCTGCTTAGCAGCCGACTCGTCCCGAGCCCACAGTGCGCATGCGTGGAATGTGCGCCGCACTCTCCAACGGCCCTCCAACCGTCTGAGGGACAGTGAAATGGCCCCCTGTTTAAAAAGTTTGAGGACCCCTGTCTAGGGTTATTGTGAGGATTACCTGAAATTATATATGTCTTGGTGCAGAGAAGTGTTCCACAAATGGAAGCGAAAATACGCAACCATCCAGATCCCTCGCATTTCTAGGACAACTGCCTTCAAATACCAGAATGTCCTCATTTCGATTTCTTAAGATCCTTTCTAAATTGAAAATATCCTGCCCTTATTAAATAGCATACACACAACATCTGATAGTTTTCTTGGTGACTCCTGGCCATGATTATTTGCATTAATTAGTAGAATAAACCATGTGACTGAGTTTTATAGTCCAACCTGCTCAAGAACTAGAGGGCCTTGCAGTCAGATACCCACTGCTTTGTTTGCTCTGAAACAGAGTCTCACTCTGTCACCCTGGCTAGAGTACAGTGGCATCATCATAGCTCACAGCAACCTCGAACTCCCGGGCTCAAGCGATCCTCCTGCCTCAGCCTCCTGAGTGGCTGGGAGTACAAGCACGCCACCAAACCCAGCTAATTTTTATTTCTTTTCTTTTTTTTTTTTTTTTTTGTAAAGACAGCGTCTCACTCTTGCTCAGGCTGGTCTCTAACTCCTGGCCTCAAGTGATCCTCCTGCCTGGGCCTCCCAGAGTGCTGGGGTTACAGGCATGAGCCGCCGCACCTAGCCTCACCCACTGCTTTCTTTCACACATCTCCAGCCCAGCCCAGCTCCCAGGCCCTGAACCTCTAAGATTTCCTGTATTTGCAGACAGGAGGAATCTGAGCTCTCTGACCTTCCCGAGAGGTGATAGGGCAGGAGATAGGACGAAGCTTGCTGAGCTCCTTCAGTGTGCAGGGGAATGTACCAGATGCTTTCATCTGATTCTCTTATTTAATCCTCTGTGTGGGAACTGTTACCTCCATTTTACCCAGGAGGAGACACCTTCATGAAGGTTAAGTAACTGGCCCCAGGCTGTTAGGTAGGGATCAAATCTGCAGGTGGTGGGTGTAGACCAGAGGGTGATTCCCAGTTATGGAGGAGCAGGGGGACCACTCAGGGGCAGGACTGCAGGAAAATGCAGAACACCTGATAATTATTTGCTAATAGCCCACACCTCCTGCGAGCCCCACCCCTCCAGGCCGATACAAGGAAACCACCTAGGAGTCCTCAAAGTCCATCTTTCTCCCTCCTGGAGACTGACCCATTCCTCTCTGGAATGCATTTTCACTTGGTGAGCTTCCTTCTTTCACATCGGTGTTTCCTTTTCTGTAATAACCGTTTGTGTGGGATTGTTTTGTATTTGTGATCACTCCTGTCATTGGCTAAACTCCGGTAGCCGCACTCCCTCTTTTTCTTTTTTTTTTTGTTTTTTTTTTTTTTGAGACAGAGTCTCACTTTGTTCTGTCCAGGCTAGAGTGAGTGGCGTTGGCGTCAGCCTAGCTCACAGCAAGCCTCCAAACTCCTGGGCTCAAGCAATCCTGCTGCCTCAGCTTCCCAAGTAGCTGGGACTACAGGCATGTGCCACCATGCCCAGCTAATTTTTTTTTTCTATATATATTAGTTGGCCCAATTAATTTCTATTTATAGTGAGAGACCGGGGTTTCGCTCTTGCTCAGGCTGGTTGGAACTCCTGACCTCGAGCAAACCTCCGCCTCGGCCTCCCAGAGTGCTAGGATTACAGGCAGGAGCCACCGGCGCCCGGCCTGCACTCCATCTTGATGCTGGGAATCGAGGGCCAGGGAACAGAGATAGACCGTACGAAGGCCACCACAGCCAGGTGGATTTGGGCACCCCCTAACCCCTGAGCCCCACCCAGTTTCAGTCTGTGTTTTGGGGGGCCATGAGCATTTCTATGGAGTTCTCCAAGGCAGAGCTCACAACTAATTTTCTGCATATCAGGCTTTCCTCTAACTTCCAGATCAGGTGTGGGCTGCCATCCACCCCATTCCTGCCTTCCATCGCACCGACATGTCCTCCTTCTCTCTCTCATCCTGCTGTTCACCGAAGAGCATACATCCTCCCACCACCAGGGAGAGTCATCACAGTTTATCCACGCACGAACGCCAAAAGGACACACCGGCAAGGAAGAAGGCGGAGGCTGTACTACCCAAGACACAGAACAGACCAAAAAAGATTCTAATCCTTTGATGCCTAGCCACACAGCATGTCTGCACAGGTACCGCCACAGGCAACAGCGTTGGAATAGAACACCTCAGCCCCCCTATCCATAAGCACAGCAGCTCCCAGGCTCCCAAAGGTTTGTTTCTGGACAAGTGGCCACGTCTGTGCCCGCTGAGGAGAGGTGGGGGGTAACGAACTCCCAAAAATAAAACAACGCACAAGTGGCTCACGAGCCAACAGCTGCGAAATTGCCACTCTTGCCCGGAGGCGCCAGAGCCACGCGGGTGGGGCGGCAAGGATCCTGGGCTGTAGACAGTTGTCTCCAGAGTGGTGTGGAAATCATATATTTGCAAAACAAGTTTTTTACATAAGTGCATTACCATGACTAAACGGGATGCTGGCAGCAAACCGCTGATGAAAGCGATGATTCTTTTCATGTAAAAATGAGAGGATCCTGCTTCCTCTCAAAAAATATATCCTCCAAGAAATTACACTTCCTGAAAGCAACCAGATCAATGTCACTAAACCTGTTGTATCCCCCGCCTAGCGTGGCACACTATCCAGAAGCATGGTAAGAGGATTGAACGCAATAAAAATTTTTAAACGAATGAACAAAAAATTGTTCAGACAGAGCAGTTTTTCAGGCTTTAGATACTGCTCTCTGCTTCCAACCCACATTGCTGGAAAACAAAGCAAAGAAGAAAGAGGTAAACACTATTAAGCCGACAGCCATAGACTTTATTTGGCACTAAGGCACAGTTTTCAAGCTTCTTTAGAATATGTACATTCTCAAGATTGCGACTTCAGGGAACATATATTAGAAGTATCTATAATTAGCAAATAAGGGCAAAATATAACAGTAAACATCACTGTTTGGTGTACGAAATACCCTTGCACAACCAGCAAGAATTCAACAAATAAACGCGACAAAAACGGGGGTGAATGTTTACCTAAATTAAATAAATTCAACCAGAGGTCTGCGATATTAAGAAGCAGCACCAGTACAATGAAATGAGACACTCAGGATTTGTGTAACAACACAGGGAGGCGAATCTAATCTGGTGTTGAGTATATAATGAACCAGCTATTTAATGAGGGGATACAATTCGGCATTATGGTGCTTGTTTATTTGTTTGTATCTGAGTAATATATGCACATAATAAAATAAAAAACCAGGGTAGTAAAAAGCTTACAGTGAGAGCAGATCCCTGCTGCACTGTCCTTTCCACCCCTTCATCACACTCTTAGAAGCAGCTACTTTCAACAAGTTTAACTGTTTCTTCTGATACTTGATCGCTTTTTGAAAATTTTTGTTATATGCAAGTATTGCCTGGAAAACAGAAAAAACAGCACTGGCCAAGGCATCTACAGTACCAAGAGCTAAGGAGACAGGGTGCAGCATGAGGCTGCGGAGCACTGCATGGGAACTGGCATGGGGAGCTGTCACCCATTATAAGGGGTGTCCCCTGCATGCGGTTGAGAGCACATGTTCTAAGCAACATGTACAACCCCCATCCACTCCCACCGTCCCCCCCACCCCCAGCCCACCCCCATCAAGACTCTGGCCTGCGGGCTGATCCAGGAGCCTCTCACCAGTTTGTTGACTATGAATCACTTCCCCAAAGCAGGGTAAGCCCTGAGTAACCTGCAAACAATCAAGTGTCCTCACAACTATCCAGATCCCTCAGATTTCTAGGATGAGTGCCTTCAAATACCAGAATGTTCTCATTGCAATTTCTTAAGAAGATCCTTTCTAATATGAAAATATCCTGCCTTATTAAATATCCTGCCAAATTAAACCTGCAAACTAGCCTTGTAACCTGCAAACCCCAGCCCCAAAGCCTTCAGCCAGTCAGCTAGCTAGCAGGTCTCTCACCATCTCTTTTTTTTTAAAACATGAACATTTATATTTAATTTACATTTTGACAATTTGCACAGAAATAACAATGTAAACCAGTACGTAAACATAAGATAGTTTGTTTTTCTAGCAAAGTAAAAAGCCAATAACTTTGGTCA